AGCATTACATTTGAATTTAACAGTTCAATCCTTCAAATAACGGACAAATATTTGTGCAATCATGATACATTTGTGAATGTATTTTAACAATCTATATATGCATATGTACAGACAAAAAACAAGAAAATTATGTTTTATTACATTACAGTGATTTTACGTTAATTTACATTTGAAATGTGAAATCACAGTCTATTTATGTAAATTCAATGATATTCTAGAAGAACAGAACAAAACTGTAAAATACAAGTAAAATACATTTATATTAGGACTTTTTCTTACAGTGTAGCTTAAATCAAAAAGACAGCCACCATGGCCTTTTGTTGTCTTGCGACATGTTTGGTCTTCCTGTTGACACATCCTGTTAGTGCTTGGAGCGGCTCTTGATGCACCACAATGTTTTTTCAGCTTCAGCTGCCTGCAGCTTGGTTATTAGTTGGATTAGATGCAAAGTTTGATTATGAAATTAAACATTAAATTTTTTAATTAAATTAAATGATTTAAATGATGGAGACTTTGAAATAACAATAACATTTTTAAAAGAAGTTTATTTGTTTTTTTAAGTTTAAACCAACTTTAAAGTTTTTAAGTTTTTACATAAAGCACTGAAAGAAATAAAGGGTGTGTTAACACATAAACTGATAGTGAAGTCGCCATAGTCCTGGTTTTCAGTTTTTTGTTTTTTGTTAACTTCATGTTTCTGGTTTTCCTAATATTGTGTTTCATCAGTATTCTCCTTTCTCTGTCTTTATGTTCCGTGTCAGTTTCAGTGTCTTCATATTTTGTATTTAACACATTCACTTAATTTTGCACACTGCCAGGAATGTTATCAGGGCATTTTTAATATGTGCTTATAAAAATCTGATATGGTAGTTATTTGTTTACATATGACCTCTTGCAACAGCCGGAACAGCAAGCTGAAACTATTCTCTTTTTTGACTGCTCTCTCCATTCTGCTAATATTAAAAAGGTTCTCATTGTCCAGGAGAGGTTATCAACAATCACCAAATGACACATGCTTGTATTTGCTTTGAGGAAAAAAAATATTAAAATGTAATTCAGTTATCAGTGTTTATCAGTAGTTCAGTATTGTAGCAAAAATCAACAAACACTACAATAATTACACATGGGCAGCATAAATTTGTGTGTTTTTGTACTTAGAATTATAGAAGATTAAAATGGCTCTAATGAAGTCAGGGAAATTATAACATATAAATATTGCATAGGGGAGATTTATATGAAAAATTAAAGCTTTTAGAAAGTTTATAAAGCACACTGAAGTTGAAAACTTTGATAACTGTCTGCCAACTGTGACTGCCTTTTGTTTCTTATTTCATCATTGGCATTTTGTTTCTCATAGACAGAAAAAGAGATCCTGCAGTTTTTTGCCAGTCTCACTCCTCCCACTGACATCCAGAGGGCGCCGTCTCCCTTTGCAGGGGCATCAGGTTCTGGCATACCAGACACCATGGACTGGAGAGAGAAGGGTTGTGTCACCAAAGTCAAGATGCAGGTAAAAAAAATAAAGAGGGCATTTAAATCAATGTATATGTATTAGTGCTGCTGAGAAGAGCAAAAACATTTGATGTCTCATAGCCACACAGGCAGTAGTGTCAACATATCCCCCATTCATCCTGTTCCTTATTCTTTGAATAGGTTCATGTTTACACAGGATGTCATTACCACAGTTGCTAGTTTAGCAATTATTTCTTCACATCCATTGGTTTTGGTGCAAAGAAGGTGGGTAGCATGGTCTTACAGGGTTTTTTTTTAACCTAGATACTTTCAAAACTGTCTCGTTATCTTAGTTTTTGGATGATTAACATAAAAAAATTAAGGTGAAATAAGGAAATATATGTCTTAATGTTCTGCCTTTTCTTCCTGTATGTAAATAGTCCATTCCAAAGCTTCACTCTATTTGTCTCTAGAAACTTTTAATGCTAAAATATGCATTACTTTAGGATATTTTAAATCCATATGACTTTCTGTGCTAAAATTGCTTTGCATAGAGTCTAAGGGGGAAAATCATACAGATAAAGATAAATAATTTTAAAAGAAAGAAACAGATTTTGATGCCCAGTTTATTTTTAACTTGTGTTGTGCAGATGAATATCATTTAACCAGAGACACACACATATTGATTTTGGCATTGCTTCTGTTCTGTGCAACACGGTAAATGTAACTGACCAAAAAACATTCTCATGTAGTCACTTGAGTTCTTTAACCTCCTACACCCTGCTGGACCCTTGCTTCACCGCTACAAACGCCTGTTGAGCTGCCAAACACAGAAATGTGTGAAATGATGCACAAGGAATTTATTCTATTTCTGTTTGCTGTAGTGACAAGCTACAAGAACATTGTTGAAGGGGGATTTTTCACTCAGTCTTTATTTATTATTATATCAATGAATTGTATATATTAAATCAAAATCAAGATGGATTTCTTTATGGATTTCTAAGAAGTGTGGAAAAAGACTAGAAAGGAAAACTCAAGCAACAGAACTAATATAAAGAACACATTTGTTGCCAGACCAGTGTGTTTCAGCTTGTTTATTTTGTCACAGCTACAAGTGCAGTCAGATATGTAATTTGGGGTCAAACTTTTACAACCGTAATTCCAAAAGTGTTGGGATGCTGTGTAAAATACCTTTTGCTAGTTAGTCTAATTATTTTCAAAACTTTTGTTGCCTCCGTCCCAACATTTTTGAGACATCTTTTGCTGCCATGAAATTCAAAATTGAATTCATATTTGTCATGAAATTGTAAAACGTCTCAGTTTCAACATTTATGGGATTTGCAAATCACTGCAGGACTTTTTTTGTAGTTGGTATTGTAAAAAAGTGCATCAGTGCTATTAAGATGGACATTTAGAGGAATACTGAGAATATAAGCATATTTGTATTTTAGATCCTATGGGTTTGTTGTTTTTTTATCTTAGGGTGCTTGTGGATCTTGCTGGGCCTTCAGTGCTGCAGGGGCTCTGGAAGGCCAGTTAGCCAAGAGTACAGGAAAACTGGTGGATCTCAGTCCTCAAAACCTGGTGGATTGTTCCGGCAAATATGGCAACCACGGCTGCAACGGGGGCTTCATGACCCGAGCTTTCCAGTATGTCATCGACAACCACGGAATCGACTCTGATGCTTCATACCCATATACAGGACGTGTAAGTAAACACACAACCTTTTTGTGGCCCTGTAAGAACACATTTGTGCTAAAAGAACATACCTACGTACTTAACTGATGTTTTCAGCTATAATATTAGTAATAGGTGAATGTTCATAAGGTAAAACCAAAACATCTGACTTTATTATTTACAGTAAAAATTGAGTAGACAGGAGCAAAGCTACTTTATTTTTTATTATACACATAAACTTTAATCTAAGGAATGTTACTATTTTTAATATGTCTATATAATGTTAGTTTATGTTGTCTTTGTCTAATTTTCAATTAAATATTGTGTTTCAATGATTTTCAGTCATCATAATCTGTTTTATTTTTGTTGTTCATACCATGGACTCTAACACAAGCTTTACAAAACCCTGTATGAGACACCTAGGTGGGTGTATAAACACCAGCAAGAAGTTGAGTCCGATCCTTCAGGCTGTA